GTTAATTATAGGAGAAGCTGGGCAGTAGGCTGGGGATGGTATAGGGAACGCTGTACTTTTTGCTCAAGGATTTTCTAAATGTAAAACTACACTAAAAACTGGGGCCAGCAGGTGGTGTGATGGTTAAGGTGCTGGACTACCACATGGCAAACCATATTTTGAGTCCCAGACCTGGTGACTTGCTTTCTCACTTTCTCTTTCTGGCTCTCTCTGGTGACAGTGTGTGCTCTATAGCAAAAATTTTGAAAATGATAATAGGGAGGCTGGCAGGTGGCTTGGTGGTTAAGGTGCTGGACTCCCATATGTCCAATCACGGTTCAGGTCCCGGCCTGGGGGCTTGCTTTTTCACTTTCTCTCTCTTTCTCTATTTGGTAAGCACACACACCCTATAGCAAATTTAAATGATAATAATAATAAAATTAAGCTTAGTAGAAAGACGGTTGTGTTTATACAATGTACTATTTCTACATCCAGTACATCCTTTCAAGTAGTAGCCATCAGAAGTCGAAGGCTTTGAGGGGACCAGCAGGTGGCATGGTGATTAAGGTGCTGGACACTCCCACATGGCCAACTGCAATTCGAGTCCCGGACTTGGTAGCTTGCTTTCTCACTTTCTCTTTCTTTCTCTCTCTGGTCAAATTAAAATAAATGAATGAATAAGTAAAAATGTTACATAAATAATTCCCTTAAAAAAAAAAAGTCGAAGGCTCTGAGAGGTAGCCGTCACCACCATGCCCAAGAATAAAGGCAAAGGAGGTGAACACAGGCACTGGGGCAAGACCGAGAATGATTCTGAAAATGAGAGTTGATCTTTAAAGAGGATGGACGAGAGTATGCTCAGGTCGTCAGGAGGCTGGGAAATGACAATTGGGGCAATGTGTTTTGATGGTGTGGAGACGTTAGGTCATATCAAGGAAAACTGAGAAAAAAGGTTTGGTTAAATACTTCAGACATTATATTGGTTGGTCTGCGAGAATATCAGGATAAAAAAGCAGATGTAATTTTAAAGTACAATGCCGATGAGGCTAGAAGTCTCAGGGCATACGGGGAGCTTATGCTAAAGCAATGAGACAGATACATTCGGTTCTGGAGATAAGGATGAAATCCAGTCCGATAATATTGGAGATATGATAAAAGACATTGATGATATTTAAATTCAACTCAATGTTTCACGTTCCAAGTTTTCTTTTTCTTTTTCTTTTTTTTAGAGGTTTTTGTTATAGAGCTCGTGCACTTGCCAGAAACACAGAGAGTGATAGAGAGATAGAAAGTGAGAAATCACCCCCCAGGGGGGATGGCCACACCACAATCCCTTCTCCTCCATTCTCCTCTTGGGATCTTGGGCACACACACACGTGCCTGGCGTGAGTTTTAAGCCACTGGGTCCGGGATGCAAACAGCGGTCGTCTACATGGGAGTCCAGTGACATAGTCATTACGCTACCTGCTGGTCCCTTTCTTTCTTTTTCTTTCTTTCTTTCTTTTTTTTTTTTTTTTTTTTTTTTTTTTTTTTTGGTTTTTTTTTTTTTTTTTTTTTGAGAGGTTTTCGCTATAGGGCGCATGCGCTCGCCAGAGAGACAGAGAGAGACAGAGAGACAGAAAGCGAGAAATCACCCCCAAGAGGGGATGGTCACGCCGCAATCCCTTCTCCTCCATTCTCCTCTCGGGATCTTGGGCATGCACGCACACGTGCCCGGCATGAGTTTTAAGCCACCAGGTCCGGGATGCGAACCGTGGTTGACTACATGGGAGTCCAGCGACATAGCCATTACGCTAACTGCTGGTTCCCCCTTTTTGATGATTGTTCTACATTTGCGATTTTGGTGTTCACTTCTCAAGAAGACTTTACTTGGCATGAGAATAGTTTAATTTGTTTAAAAATATTTATTGTATTTCTTTTAAAGCTGATGATGCCAAATTCTCTTAAGTGAAATGCTAACACTTGGTTCTTCTGATGTAATAGAATTTTAGTGTAAAAAAAATCATTATATCCACATTTACAAGAAAGAAACCTATCTAGAAAAATAGATGTTTTGAATAAATTGTTTGCCTTATAATCAAAACGGATTGTAATCTCTAGTTCCAACTCTGTTTACTCAACAAAATCTTTCTGTTTTGTGATTTAGATGTGCCCTTGGAATTTTACAGAAAGGCAGAAATCAGCATATGGAGACACAACCAAGGCCTGTTTTCATATGTAGTCATACGTATTTTTATATAGACTTTGCATACATCCTTCTCATCGTTTGATGTTGTCATCATCCTTTAAAATAGCACTTGCACCATTGCAGTTTTTACAACACGAGTTTGAGTAGCAATTTTGAAATTGTAAGATTAATAGTTGTAGAAATTGAACCCTAGATGATAACCCATTATCTCGACACTGGAAAGAGTTGACAGTGTTTTTGCTTACCATAGAAAATTACTCCATTTGATAGAAAGATACATGAATAATTTTTAATATGCAAAAAGGTTATGTTAAAATATATCATTTTATTTTAAAAAGTCATGCATTGTAAGCCACAGTTTGGGGACTAATGAACAATTAAATTCTAATGTATTAATGAAAACCTAATTTCATAGTAATTTATAAAAACGTTAACCTTTCTTTTTTGGAGAGGTTTTTGCTATAGGGCACATGCGCTTGCCAGAAAGACAGAGAGAGACAGAGACAGAAAGCGAGAAATCACCCCCCTGGGGGGGGGGGATGGCCATGCTGCAATCCCTTCTCTATTCTCCTCTGGGGATCTTGGGCATGCATGCACACGTGCCTGGCGTGAGTTTAAGCCACTGGGTCCGGGACTTGAACCGCGGTCAACTACATGGGAGTCCAGTGACATAGCCATTACACCAATTGCTGGTCCCAAAACGTTAACCTTGCTTAAATTGTCCCTGTGTGGGGGTAAAGGAAGGGAACCACAACTTAATGAAAAGATTATTTCTATTTTCTGAATGGAAAATCTGTAGCAACAAAATGCAATGAAGTGTTATCGTGATTAAAAAAATAATAAAGTTAAACATTTTTCAAAAAGAAAAATGATAATAAATCAAATTAAACAATTATTTTTTAAATCTATTTTTTAAACTCTGTTGATCATTTCTGAGCCTAGACTCTAAATCCATTTTACATATGGACACAATGTATTCGCAAGGTTTAAATATACACAGCATTTTTCAGTAGCCAGTTACTGTCTTTGTAGAGGGACAGCTGCACTTTGTTTTGTCTGGAACTTTGCCAAGACTCGGTCACCATTTCAGAAAATCACATCACTAATAGCAAACTAGCAGCAGTCCCTGAGTGGCTGGTTCTACTGCACGTCTGCCCAGCCTGTGTGCGTGCAGCCCCGGTGCTCACGATGGTTTTAAAAGAGCAGCCGGGGACCTCACAGCTTCCTGTGGCTGCATGTTAACATATGCAAACACATATTATTTTATTACTAAATGCCTTCCCTTATTTAACCTCTGCAGTACAATTAGGATGTTCTATTGACATTAACATTTTTATGTATAAGTGGGTTTCATTATACATGAGCCTCACTCCAGGATAGTAACAAACTATCTGTTATTACATGGGTGACTGAGTTTGAGAGAGCTGAAAACCCCTCCCTTGAAATGAAATCCAAACTCCTTATTCAACCTCAGGCCTGTCATAACCAGTCTGGTTGTCCCAAAGGCTCTGCCCTCTCCTCCCCCCATGCCAGCCAAAGGGATCTATTTGTATGTCCTGGAATGTGCCAGCACTCTGCTGTCCCTAGTCTTGGTACAGGCTGTTCTCTCCCTGAATTGCCCTCATCCTCTTCCTGTACTGGCTCAGCAAATGTAGTGCTCCCCAAATCTCCATTCTTCACTTCCTTTGCCATCTGTGCCTTAGCTGTGTCCACCTGCAGTCCCACTTGCTTTATTTTCTTTAATGACTCCGTTTTCATCAAATTATTTTTCAAAGAAAATGTTTCAAAGAATTTTTTTTCCTTTTTTTTGGAGAGGTTTTTGCTATAGGGCGCATGCGCTTGCCAGAAAGACAGAGAGACAGAAAGCGAGAAATCACCCCCCAGGGGGAATGGCCATGCTGCAATCCCTTCTCCTCCATTCTCCTCTCGGAATCTTGGGCATGCACACACACGCACACACGCCCAGCACGAGTTTAAGCCACCAGGTCTGGGACTTGAACCGCGGTTGACTACATGGGAGTCCAGCGACAGCCATTACACTAACTGCTGGTCCCAAGAATTATATTAATTGTATTTATTTATTATTATTTTTAAATCTGACAGAGAGAGAGAGAGGGAAAATGAGAAAGCAGATCACCAGGTTAGGGCCTTGAACTGTGGTCAGCCATATGAGAGTCCAGCACCTTAACCACCATTTTCCCTGCCAACCCTCAAGGAAAATTTTATATCACTATCTTAAATAGGAAACTGATATGAGAAGCCCTAAAAATAAATGAACTATTTTTAAAAATGAAATGAAAGTTATTCACTTGTATTTAGATGAAACTGAGGCCAGCCATGAGGGGTGGGAAGGAGATGGATTAAGAAGTATAAATATATTAGCCACGAATTAAGATTTTACCCCTTGATACAGAAGAAAATTGGAGAGAGAATAACTTTTTCTTACGGTGTAATTGGATCCTGTCCCTGTTCTCCCTAAATCACCCGCAATACCACTACTAGCCATCACCCAACACTTAGCCAGTGCCTGCAATGGATGGGCCCTGCGCTAGACACTGGCAGTAAAAGAGTGAGCCAGACACGCACCGGCTCACAGATGGCTGGAGAAAAAACACAAGTAACCTGGAAACGACTACAAAATTCCATTACTTACAAAAAAGAATTTGTGATTCAAGCCTTTCCCTTCTCCAGCATCCCAGATATGCAGTGTTTGCAGAGAAACCACACCCATTCGTGAACGATGAGAGTTAGTCAGAGCAAATGAATTTGGAAACTGCAACAGTTTATCATCTTTTCCAAGTTGTTCACAGAAAAGTAAAGCGAGAGGGGCGTGTATATGCACATATTTGACATGCTGGGACCTGGAACCGCGGAAAGTACTGTTTTTTTAAAGCACATAACCAGCCTGGCTGGCCAGAGCGGCGGCCAAGGCGTGAGCCTGTGCTCACCTCCGCGTTCATCTTTCGCTACGGAATCTTTGCTTAATTCCTCGCGCGGCTCGGTCTCACCGCCACCAGGAAGCCCGCTTGGACAAACAAGAGAGGTCAGTGCCTTTACAGTGCGCCCTAAAAGCTGGCGCTTTCCCGGGTACCGCTGAGAAGGGCCCGTCTGGGACCTCCACCAGCGCCGGCACCTGGCCCTCTCCTAGGGACCCAGCTCGGCGTAGCCTGCGGGACCGCGGGTGACAGGCTGTGGTTTCTGCTCCTCCGGGCCGGGGTCCCGTTGGGGTTACGCAGTGGGCGGGGACTCAACAGACGCGCGGCAAACCCGCACAGGCCACAGGCTCCGACGTTAGGGGGCGCAAGCGTTGCTCTGGCAGGACTCGGAGCTGGCCAAGGGGGCAGAACTCGGCGCCAGGTTGGCTCCAGAGCCTCTCGGGTTGAGAGGGGGAGCGGGGGAGGGCCGGGATACCTCCCCCCGGCCTCCGCTTACAGTAATCTCGGATAGACGCCAGCAGAGAGAGCAGGGGAGTCGCAGAAGGGGGTGGCTCTGATGAGACCTCCTGGTCAGCCGCCTCTAAGCCGCACCCGGGAGCAGGAGTGATCCGGAGACCCTAAGGTAGGACCCAGCCCAACACCCAAGTCTAGAGTTCCTGCCGGGAGTGGGAGTGGGGCCCTGGGGGCTGCAGGGGAGAAAGTGGTGTTATCCTCTGTCCCCGCCCCGGGGGCGGAGCCGATGTCCCAGCCTGCGGAGCTGTAGACCCGCCGAAATCGGCCGGGACTCTCTCCCAGGCTCCCATTCCCCCCTCTCCTAGATTCAGGGAGACCCGATCTTCTTCCCGGGTCCTCTGGCTCTTGGGCGCAGGCGTAGGTGCAGGTGCGGCTTCCCTACCATTCTCCTACCCTGGCGCATCCCGCTGCGGCCGCCCTGGCGCCAG